GAAAAATAAACAGCCTAAATTTAAAAAAAAAAAAAAGGAGCAATCTCATCTCAACCTCTCTAGGATGAACCTGTTTGTTCTCCTAGCAGTCCATGGTATGTTCAACATTCTTTACCAGCCACACTTTCTATCACCCCTAGTCATTGTCAAGCTCTCCAATGCATAGCAAGCAATTGTGAAGACTATGGCCTGGATGAGGCACCTCTTAGTCTCTAGGCTGATGTCACAGCTCTTCAGTACTCTGCAGAGGTCCCTGACAGCCCAGTTTCCCAATGCATTTTGTCTCTTTATTTCCTGGATGCTGGTACCAAGAGTGTTCATTGTAGAGCCAAGAAAACTAAAAGCCAAGTTAGCAATCTCAATCTCTTCACTGTTAGTCTGGGCAAAGAAGGCCAAAGAGAAGAATGAAGAATTCAGAACTCAAATGTTGATGGCCTTGCCTGCTTCAGATAAGAAGGCAAAAGGCCTTGCCTGCCTGGCTAAACTAGCAGGTGGCTCATAAATCAGAATGGAATGTCCCTCCCTAAAGACTCTGTTTATAAAAATCCTCCCCAGTAAGTTCACAGTGTGACTTCCCATTCTGCAAATCCAGGATGAGGAACTCACCCAGGAGCTCCCCTTCCACCCCCACTCCCCTTTAATAAAGCTGCATTAAGCTTTCTCTCGTTCTCTCTGATTTCTTCTTTAAGTCCACTAACCTAACCTAACCTAACCTAACATTAACCATCGATAATGATGCTGCAAGGGTTTCATAACAAAAATTTAAAGAATCCTACAAGAGCCTCCATAAGAAAAACACAGATAACACAATTAAAATGAGGAAAAGAAAGGGAGAGACTTTTCACAGAGGATGATATTAGGACAGCCATAGGGCAAATGAAGAAATGCTCAAAATCACTGGAAATTAGAGAGATGCAAATCAAAACCATGATGAGATACCATCTCACTCTAGTAGCAGTGGCAAAGTTTAACAAGATAAAGAGTAATAAATGTTGGAGAGGATGTGGTGAGATAGGAATTCTTATACATTATTGGTAGGATTGTAAAATGGTACAACCATTCTGGAAGGCACTTTGGTGCTTCCTCATAAAAGCTGAATATAGAAATCTCTTATGAACCAGCTATTCCACTGTTTGGAATATATCCCAAGAGAACAAGAACTGAGGCACACCAATGTTTTTAGCAGCATAATTCACCACGGCAAGAATATGGAAACAGCCTAGCTGGCCAAACACAATTGAATTGGATTGAGAAATTATGGCACATTCACACAATGGAATACTACACAGCATGCAGGAACAATGATTTTATAAATTATTATCTAAGTTTGGAGGAACTGGAAAACATTATATTGAATGAACTAACTCAGTCCCATAAAGATAAATGCTATATAAGACCATTATTGTGGAACAAATATAAGGATCCAAGGTGGAGGGAGGGTGGAAGCAGAGAGGTGGAGATAGATGGGAGGGTGTTAATCATAAGATCTCACAATGTCATGAGTAGAGGTGGGGTGTGAAGGAAATGGGAAAGATCTGGTGTGCAAAACAATGTATTAATAATTTGTAAATAAATCAGTATAAAAGAAAATTTTTTTAAAACCAGAATACGTATAAATGGTAGAATGGAATATTAATGTGTTTTGTAAAATTTAATTAAAATCATATTAAGTTTTAAAAATAAAATAGAAATCATAGTGATGTAAAAAAAGGTTTTTTTCAATGACAGATAATTTTATTACCAAAGATATGTAGCCTCAGAAACCCAACAGTCAGTTGTGAGTTTGTTTCCACTTGACTGAAAATAATTAAGTAAGCACAAATAACCTTGCTTGACAGAACCAAGAACATCATGGGAAAATAAAACTTTAAAAAGCAAGCACTCTGCCTTCAAGTTGATTTCAGTTCATCATAATTCTCCCTAGCAATTCTGAGTTTGTTAATCTTAACCAAAGATCACAGTACCGTCTTTACATACAAATGAACTGCTGGCCTTTCACTTAGCAGTCACTATGCCCCAATACTTAGAAAATACCTTTCCTCAAAAATATATAGAGCATTCTGTAAGCATTGTACTTTCAGTAATGTATGCAACACACTCCTTCCCTCCTTAAGGAAGCATATGTTGAATGAAGAAAGTGCAGTGCTTAATGATGAACAAAATACTTTATACATGGTAAGAAGCTGCACTGCAATCCCAAAAGCACACAAGTTAGAATCTACCTTAACTGCCTCTGAAAACCTGCTGTTGGGTTTAGCTATGAACCCCTTCAGACTCACTGGCACACAACAACATGCAAAAATACAACAAGCAGATGAACTAAATAAATTATTCAGAGATAGAAGGATTCTTTAAAAACAAGGTTAGACTTCTCCAATAACTCAAAGAATAATGACTAGTACTACCTAATAAAATAATAGCAAACAACCAGGAGCAAAAGAAATAAATAAAAATATGAAATTAAATAAAGAGCCTATAAATCTTAAAAACATAATTTTAAGGGTAAAAAATCAGTAGACAAAACAACAAAATAAGCACAGTAAATTCCAATTTGGCAATCTGATCATTTAACATCCAAGAAATAGAGAAGACTGAAGAAAAAAGCCAAGAGGGTGAGAAGGGTAAGAAAGGAAAAAATTCTAAAATTCAAAAATGGACGACTGGGTCAGCTAGTCATCCAACAATTTTAAGAGGGGAAAACTAAGATTCCAGGGTGAGATAGGATCATGGAAAATTGGGTAATAAATTATTCTTTAAATGCGTCTTCACAGACATAAGATATATTTGTTTGTTTGTTACTAAACAATTTAGTCTTTATTGCCACTTATAAATATATTTTCAGCTACAATAGAGGGAATTGTAGACACTGGCTTATGAAGGGAAGCTAGGCCTGGTGAGGGAGGGAGTAAAATGAAAAGCACAGCAGGCCTTCAACACAAGATATTTTTTAAAGGGTGGTCCTTTCTGGGAAAATGAGAAATGCTTCTTTTAGAAAATGCTCTCCCTTCAGGCCAAGTAAGTTCTGATGGCATAGTCCATAGAAGTTGGCCTGCTAACATAAAAGCAGCACCTTTAGTCTCACGGAAGGCTAGTGACGTTGGAGGGGTTGAGGGTAGGGTACAGAAATAGAGGAAGATGAGCAATCTTCTCCTATGTGATTTATAGCCTCGGAAGTGTCAACAATTAATGGCAATGAATTGCTGAGAATCAGAGGTTGAGTTTTCAAGGCAAGAGGAGGCCACCTTTCTGGTGGCGACAATATTTAGGCTTCATTGGCTGAGCTCAGCTCTGATTCTCCTCAATATCCCTAATTCCCAAGGCTCCTCACCCCCCACAACACCTTCTTGAAGAAAGGAAAAATCAATTGCTACACAGCAGATGATGACTTAGTAGTACCTTGCGCTGCCAATGCAAAGGTACACAGTTGGTGTACAAAGGTACATAGCTCTATGGGAGAAAGTTGAAAAATCTCCTCCCTTGTGATTTCGGTACTGACTCAATGGTAGATAATACCAAAAACCACAAGAACTAGCCCACCTGTAAGTCCTTAGGGAAACAGACTCCTCATTTTCCTTCTAGAGGGCTAGGAGTTCTTAACCATTTAACCACTGTGCCACCAGAACAACTTCTTTCTTGATAAACAAAGCAAATAACTCATTGCCGTAGTGTTGATTCTGACTTTTGGTCAGAAATTTCCCAAATGCCAAAAATTTCCAAAGCTGTAGTTTTTACAGGTGGAAACTTTATTTTTATTACACTAGTTCATTTACAAAATTCGAATGCATTGTTTTTCCCACCAGATTCTTCAAATATCCTTCACTGCTCATCAAACTGCACAACCCCATGATTAGTTCCCCATGCACATATCCTCATTCCTCTGCTTCCACTCCCCCACCCTCGGATCCTCAAACTCATTCTATAATAATGATTTTATACAAAATTTGTCCTTGTGGCACTGAAGTGGTAACTCTTGTCTTTCTCTGGGGAAGTGAACAGCTAATCTTAAAATTGAATGGCCATCTCCTTCAAATTTTGATGAGGTCGCAACTGAGTGTACCTTTCATCTGCCCTCCCTCATTTCTGACATCAACAGGGATCCCTATCCAGCTGCATTTGCACCCCAGTTGCCATGGGCGTACCAGCTCCTTGTAGCTCAGCGGGTTCAAGAACCTCTGTGCAACTACCTCCCAGTCTGGCATATCCACATAAAACCATACATAGTTTCCTGAGGAACAGCTCTGCTCTAAACCCCTCAACCTGCACTATTTAAAGCCCTCCATCCCCGAGCAACTAGGCTCAACAGCACATACCGCAGCCTGGCAGGCCCTTAGTCACAGCTGCAGACCTGTATTTGCAGCCACTGGGTAGCCTGAACTCTGCTGTCGCCACTTGCAGGGAGCAAAGGAGAAGGGGCAGGGAGCGCTCCCTGACTGTGACTCAAACCTACTTATACCAGGAAAGGAATTCAGTTTCGTTTCTCTCCTGAGCATTTAAGTTTCCGTTTCCTTTCACCACTGTTTGAATGAGGCAGGTTTCAGAAAAGTTTTAACATCTTTGCTCTTATTGGAATCTTAAATGACACAGCACAGTCAGGAATACGTACTTTGTAGTTTATGGAATTTGTAATATAGAAGCAGCTGAAGCAGAGAACTTGGGACCATTTAAACAAGAAAAACTGAGAGGAATCAACATTTTAGAAACAGATGGAGTGGCATCCACTTCCTAAACAACATGCCTCTGGAAACTATGTTGGTAGTTATAGAAAGACTTTAGGACTTTTGTTCAAAGGCTCACTATGTCGCTATATTTCTTGACTCGATGGCAATCAACAACAACAGGAATATATATATAGATATAGATATATATAAAATATATGTATATATATAAAATATATGTATATACATATATATAAACATTCTGAAACTTGACATTCCACTGAGATGTGGAGTCCCAACAACACAATAAAACTTAAAAAACAAATTATCTAGATAAGAATACAACATCTTAGTGGCTTAGGACCTTAGTGTTTTATATTTATATTTATATTATTTATAGTTACATAGTTACAGTTATGTTATAGTTATAGCTATAGTTATAGTTAGTTATACTTTTATACTTATACTTCTTATACTATTTATTTATATTTATAATATTTCCATTTCTATTTCTATTTCTATCTCTATCTCTATTTCTATTTCTATTTCGTTAGAATCCATCGGTCAGGACAAAAACAAGCAGTCTCCTTCATTAGAGATTTAGAGACACAGAACTCGATGGAATGTTGCCAAGAGTCAGAACGGACTCCAAAACAGTGGGTTAAACAAGGATCTACAGATTTCAACTTTATATTACAGGAAACTGATCAGCTGTGAGTGTTGTTATTGTTGTTATGTGCAATTGAATCACCTGCGACTCACTCTATGTACAACATCCCTAAATCCTGCTCTATCCTGTGCCAAACTCACTGTCTCTGACATACCTACCCTCATAACCCCAGTCACTGAATCAATCTACCTTACATAAGAGGGACTTTCTCTCCTGCACTGTTCCTCCACCCTCCCAAGTATGACATCTTGCTCCAAGGATTTGTCCTTCCTTGTAACATCTCAAAACTAAGTCAGATGAAGCTTCAGAATCTTTGCTCCAACGAGCAGCCTGGTTTAACCCTCTCCAGGACGAAACCTGTTTATATTCTTAGCAGTCCTTGGTATATTCAATACTCTTTTGCAACACCACAGCTCAAAGACAACAATTCTCCTATCCTCTCTAGTCATTGTCCAACTCTCCAACACATAGCAAGTGATTGCAAAGACCATGGCCTGTATCAGGCTCACCTTAGTCTCCAGCAAGACACCATTGCTCTTCAGTACTTTAGAGAGGTCCCTAGCAGCAGATTTTCCCATCGCAATATGTCTTTTAATTTCCTGGCTACTGGTGCCAAGAGTGTTGACTATGGAGCCAAGCAAACTAAAGCTGTGAACAGTTTCAGTCTCTTCACCATCCATCCTGATGCTGCCAATCAGCCCAGTGGTGAGAATCTTTGTCTTCTTGATATTGAGCCTCAATCCATATTGAAAGCTGAAGTCCTTGACCTTCTGCAGCAGTTACTTCAGGTTCTCCTCAGTTTCAGCAAGCAGGATTATGTCATTTGCATAACTAAAATTTTTGATAAATCTTCCACCAATCCTGATGCCATACTTCTCATACAGCCCAACCTTGTAGATAATCTGTTCTACATATAGGTTGAAAAGGTATGGAGATAACACACATCCCTGGAGTACACCTATCTCAATTTTGAGCTATGCAGTGTTTACTTGCTTTGCTCTGACGATTGCCTCCTGGTCCAAGTATAGGTTTTGCATTAGCGCAATAAAGTATTCTGGGATTCCCATTCTTCTCAGAGTCAGCCACAGTTTGTTATGACCCCTAACTGTGTGGATCATTTGTGAGTAGCTTAAAATATGGTTACAGTTCTGCATGAATTATATGTGTAATGTTCATGGGTCAAGGAATGACATCAATAAGTCAATTTAAAAAATACAGTATTTTTATGTTTATTTTAGCCCATCACTTTTTGTAACCTGAGTTTCCAAACCAGCCTTTCTGTATACTTAGTGACCTAGCACATTTGATATCATGAATGCTACAAATATACAGCTATGACGGAAATCCGGATAATAATAAGTAGGATAATTATGACAAGAATGAAATGACACAGGCTGCTACAATGTTGGAACGCATGTACCGTACAGATCCACAGAAAAATCTGAGCACAGAGAATCAGGTGTTCTTGTGCTAGGTTTTAAGGAAAAGGTCCATGAAAGGAATCTGGACATTATTTCATTAGGCTTTGTTTCTGTGTGTTTGTGTGCATGTGTTGTTTGGAAGTTGTTAATGTGTTTGTTAGTTATGAAAATGCAAAAGAATTTACATAAACCTAGATCTTGGCAACTGATCCATCTTAAATTACTATTCTATATTTATCCTTCATTACTGTTCCTGCCTTTAGTAGTGTCATGTCAAAGGTTTATTGTTCAAAATATCTTTCCTGGCTATTGATGAACTGTTTATTTTTATTTTGTGATGAGGTGTTTATTGTATTAAGGAGACAGGATTAGGGTGAGGTACAAGCCCCTTCCTGGAGAGGCCTAATTAAGCTCACGGGAGCTCAAAGTAGCTCTCTCTGGGGACATTTGCTCTTCTGGGGCACAGCTGTGCCTGGTCCATCTCATTAGTCTCTGCAACACCAGCCTGCTTCACCCACATCAGATAAAACATTGGGAACACTGTTAAATTCCCTCTTCTTGTAATTAATCTTCTACTAATCTTACGAATTATGAATGAAGGTAGGAGGATTAGTTATTTCCCAGATTAAAAGAAATAGCACAATTGGGTAATACGGAATAAAAAATCACTTATGCTAAGGCTTCTTGTTGTTGTTGTTGTTGTTGTTGTTGTTGTTATGTGCCATTGAGTTGTTTGTGACTTATAGTGACCCTATGTACAACGGCCCTAAATGCCGTTCTATCCTGTGCCAACCTCGCCATCTCAAATGCATTCATTCCCACCACTTCAGTCACAAAATTGATCCATCTCATTGAGGGTCTTCCTCTCCTGCGCCATCCCTCCACTCTCCCAAACATGATGTCCCTCTCCAAGGACCAGTCCCTCCTTGCAACATGCCCAAAGTATGTCAGATGAAGCTTCAGAATCCTGGCTACTTCCATTTTAAAAAGACAAAACATCCTACTCTGTCCTCCATGACCCTTGGAAGGCAGTTTGGCCCTTTCTCAGAAAACTTAAAATAGAAATCCAGCTATCTCACTACTACCTCACAGAAGTTACCTCAAAGAAAAATGTGATAAGTAACAAATAGATGTATTCACACCCATATTTATTGCAGTATGATTCACAATACACATGGACTTTTGACTGTACATTGGATCACACATTGCTGTTGAGTTAGAAGCAATTCATGACTGACCCTCCAGAGTGTTTGCAGGACACCATAAATCAAAGTGGGGGAGATTAGTCAACAGAGAGAGGGTCATGACCTGTGTGTTAGTAGCCCAACTCCCTGTGGACTGTGCTACCAGAGCTCCCTGTGGATAGGTTGTTATTGTCACAGTTTTGTACCAGCGAATCAGAACCAATCCATAGCTGACCCTCCAGTGGGTTTTCAGAGGCAATAAATGACACAGGAGGAGATTTGACATTTTTATTACATGAAGCAGCTGGTAGATTTAAACCTTTGGGTTGGCAGTGTAGCTCCTTACAATTAGGCCTCCAGGGCCCCCACACAGACGCTGAGCAGATCTACTCTTAATTCTCTCAATGTTCAAGGTTTACCTGTGTTTGTTTTATCTTCCCTGTTAGAATCAATGCACTAATCAACTAAATAATTAATTCAACTATAACATAATTAATACAATGCTCACTTGCCTCTGTAAGAAAAACTAAAATTGAAAATAATATGCTTTATACTTCCTTATTATACATAAGGGCAAAGTCTCTCATACTCCCCTGCTCATTTGCAATTCACTGTAGATAACTAGTAATTGTAAATTCATTTTCCATCTCTTGGTATAATATAAAAATCAAGTATATTTTCTCAAGTATGTAGAAGTCAACTCTTTTTCAAATGTCATCCTCAAGATCCACCCTAAAATGACTAAATAGGTAAAAAAAAAATCATTTCATAGTTAGTATTTTGTTGTTGTTGTTGTTGTTATGTGCCGTCGAGTCGCCTGCGACTCATAGCGACCCTATGTACAACAGCCCCAAACTCCACTCTGTCCTGTGCCTATTGCACTGTCTCTGACACTCCCATCCCAATTATCCCAGTCACTGAATCAATCCACCTCATAGAGGGCCGTCCTCTCCTGCGCCGTCCCTCCACCCTCCCAAGCATGATGTCCCTCTCTAAGGACCGGTCTCTCCTCACTACATGTCCAAAGTAAGTTAGACGGAGCCTCAGAATCCTTGCCTCCAAGGAGCCACCCGGTTTAACCCTCTCCAGGACAAATCTATTTGTTTTCCTAGCAGTCCATGGTATTCTCAATACTCTTCTCCAGCCCCACAGCTCAAAGGCATCAGTTCTCCTTCTGTCCTCCTTGGTCATTGTCCAACTCTCTGATGCATAACAGGTGGTTGCGAAGACTATGGCCTGTATCAGATGCACCTTAGTTTAGCAGTTGTT